GGTGCAGCCGGCGGCGGCGGGGGGGGAGCAGGGGAGGGCGCTGGTTCCCCCGGTGGCGGGGGCGATGCGTGGGACAGGTGTGTCCTGAGGGACGCGGTGGGGGTGTTTCCCGGGTCGAGGAGGTCTTCGTCCGCGAGGGAAGAGCGGGGGGCAAGCTTGAGCTTCATGCCGGAGAGGTCGCCCAGCGGCGGCGGCGGCGGCGGGCAGCGGCAGAAGCTGCTCCCTGGTGAGTTTTTTTTTTTTGTTGTTGAGGGGGGGGCAGTATTATTGCAGAGTATTTCACCCCTCCCGTCGTGTATGTGTAGCATTTCTCGTGCTTTCTGGGCGACAGGCAACAGCAGTCTCTAAAGAACCCTCCGCTGAACCATGTGTTTGCCGCTATCGGTCACGCAATGGTAAACACACGGACGCGGAGTTTTTGTTTTTTTCCTTCCTTTCCTCCTGCGGGGGTGCTTGCGGCCTTCCCTCGGTGTTTTCGTTTCGAAAGTTAATGAGTGCAAGCGTGGCGTCAACGAGAAGGATTTGTGCACCCGCCCGTCTCAACCAATCGCCCGTCTCAACCAACCGCCCGTCTCAACCAATCGCCCTTCTCAACCAATCGCCCGTCTAAACCAATCGCCCGTCTAAACCAATGCACATGTACCACGCTGAAGGGTCGGTACTTTCGTTTCGAAGCACAAGAACCTCCATGTTTACCCGCATGTCAAACAGGCTGAGATAGACTGTCTACTATCTACCACGCATTTAGCAATTATCAACATTTCATCAGGAGTATTTATTTACACACCACGATCGTACGTCTCTTTTTATCGAGCCGGGGAGGTTCGATTGTACGCGACCACGCACGGTCCTTCTAGCGTCCAAAAACAATACCGAAGTCCCCGAGGGCAATGTGCTCGATCGGTGGCATGTTTTGATTTCACCACCCCCTGTTCGTAAATATAATAGTTTTTGTGGGCTGTTACAGCATCGTATGTATACCCTTGGGCCAATTGCTCGCCAGCGAGAAGTGGGGGGGGGGGGGGGGGGGNCCGGACCAGGCTCTCACATCACCAAGCGCGAAGCGCCGTGAGATATTCGTCGAGTCGCATGAAGGGTGCGCTGCATCCTGCTAAGGGTTCGAGAAGTGGGGGCAGGATAATACGCGGCGGCATCTCCAGATGCAGACCACCCAACAGAAGTGTGTATGGAGCGGACTATCCAATATTGGCGCTGTAGGCTCTCTCTCGCGGCAGCGTGACTGGGCGCGTGCGTTAAATGATGGTAGAGCGGCGCGACGACTATCGTAGAATATCTTCCACATCTCCCATGCCGAATCGGAAGCGAGATCCCCCGGAAATTCTTTTTTTCGCTGTCCCGAGGGCTGAAAAGTCTTCGACGAGCTCTCGGGAATAGCCTAACAAGCTGAAAACAGGAGGTCCCCGATCTCTCATGCATCTGCAACCTGCTTGATGTTGAAGTCGGTTCAGACCGGCGTGCCGGAGCAAAGTTGCAATGGGTATGTGGTTTTGGTTGGTCTCTTCGGCCTTCTTGGGGTTGATACTTACAGTACTTTTTGACAAGGTTTTGAGATCAGGCGGGGGCAAGGGACTGCTGTAACACACGGGGGCTGGTGTGTGTATGTGCGTCTTGAATGTTGGCATCGACCGCCGCTCTAACCGTGTGACCGACTGACCAACCAATGGAAACGCGTCAGTCTCAATGAAGCCAATACAGAGAATGTTTCTAAAGGCCATTGATCTGGGGTCCGGTGACGGAGCGTCATGGGGAAAACGTGTTTGTGTGTGCGACCTCAATATCACGCCTCGTGGTGCCACGCGTTGACACCTTGTAACGGACGGGCGAACATATTGAGGGTCTTCCGGGTGCATGTACTACGAAATACCACATAATTACTGCTGCAGTCTACTTTCAGATAACAAGACAAGCCCAGCACCTAAATAGCATGATTTCGTGTGAAGACAACCAAGTACAACAACAATGACAACAACTGCTAAGACTTCCAACACTTGCCCTTCGACTGCTGATGCGGTAGTACGTCGATCGGGTCCTGTGATAGTTCAGCGAGTGCGACAGGTTTTCCGGGAATGATCCGTCGACTTCCAGTAAATGACACAAGATAACACCCCCCCTGGACCGATTGTCGAAGTTCGATGTATCAACAACCGAAAGAGTCACAGCGCCGTAACCGGTGGCGTTGAAGCTGTCTCGTCGAGAGTTTTCCGAAATTGTATTGTTTCATATATGCATGTTCGCCGAAAACGGTGGCGTTGAAGCTGTCTCGTCGAGAGCTTTCCGAAATTGTATTGATTCATACATGCATGTTCGTCGTCGTGGCGTCGTCGAGCTTTGAAAATTGGTCCAGGGGGTGTGTTGTCTTGTGTCATATACGGTATGCTCTGCATGTTAACGTCTAGTATGTCCGCAAGGTCCTCTCACACAAGATGACAGCGTTCATTTTACCCACCAAGTAACTCTAGTTTTTTTTCAGACAACAGCAGTCCTAGGCGCAGGTCCCACGTGTCCCAAACGGCGGAGTCTCTCTTGCTTTTTTTTGTTTTAAGTTGTTTTGTTATTTCTATGTACAAAATGAAGCACATGTACGGGTGCACATGTCTTACACATCCACAGACAAGAGCCCGAAATCAGTTGGCAAGAATTTTGAAAAAAATCCGTCATCTTAAACATGGAAACCCTTGTGGTGATGAAATTGATGCTCTGAGCGCACACTAGTTCTCCACCCTGATCTTGGGAAGAACTTGTCGTGTTGTTGATATAATCTCATTCTGGGCTCTCCATTGGCCCGTACTTCCCGATAAATCTCTCCGTGAAACAGCAGTAGTCCCCAACACTCCAGCTCCACACCACGGAAAGGCGTACGCGTCAATTGTACGGATACTAGAAGGTACTGAGCGGAGTCCGGAGCGTTTTTTTTTGCGAACACAACAACTACGACAACGCTACAATGCTCAAGAGGCGGGGAACACTGCACACGTGACGGGTGTGACCCGTCTCCACACAGCAAGGATACCCCAATTTCCAACCTTCAACCATGCATACGATGCCCAACAAGTCACATATGTGACCCGTTTCCACGCAGCAAACTTACCCAAGCATTGCAATCTCCAACCATCATGTAGATAGACCCACCTCGCCACGCACGTCCCACGGTGGCCACCAAACTGCTGTCTAGGCTACGTAGAGCCCTACTCCCGGTTCTAACCGAACCAATGCGTGCAGCACCAGCAGAAGAACGGTTGACAGCAGATGCATGAGGGTTCAAGCCTGAGTCTGGAAGATTGCTACTCCCAACCCGCATGCTGGACATGCCCAAGGCTTAGACATGTCCCGCATGCGGGTCGGGAGTAGTAGTCTTACAGACTCCGGCTTGAACTCTTATGCACCTGCTGTCAATCGTTCCGCTGCTGGTGCCGCAAGCTTTGGTTCGATTGGGATCGGAAGTGGGGCTTCAGGTATTTCAGCACATATTCCATATATAGGGCAGATATCATATGTCAGCGTATTTTGCTCGGAGATTCAAGAAAACAAATTACAGTAATTGATTCATCGCGATCTCTTTCTGGCCTCTTTTAAGTTGTAGTCGAGAGATCGATTTCTGTGTTGATTTTTGGAATAGAAAAAACAACCACCACACTCCACGGAGTCATGATTTGCTCGCCACAGCCCAAACACACAAAAAATGATCCTTGTTCCGAGCTCTGAGAGAGGATGCTCGCCTCTTGGGCGGTCTTATCCATGACACCAGGGTGAATGCCACGGACTGAATTCCGACGTGGATCTTGTAGCAAGTATGAAGGGAATGGATTTGAAACAAGTACAAAGTACGACGGGACGGACGGACTGTGACATGTCTGACAT